GACCAAAAACCCACAAAAAAAAAAAAAAAACAAAAAAACCCAACAAAAACAAAACAAAAAAAAAAAAAATTCACCCTAAAATGGGAACTTAATGAATCTTAATTGAGCTTTTACTGAGGGGTAAAAAACTGGAGAAACTCCCAGTTTTTTTGTCTTGAGTTTCAGCATTTCATGTCACCTTGTAGACAGACACTGTTTTCCAAAGTCAGTTATGTGATGAAGAAGATATTAAGATTAAATGAGCAGTGCAGAACTCAAAAGCAAACCCATAATTATTAATAGATATTTAAATTGGCAGGCAATCGATTTTTAAATTGTCCTTTCACCCTTGTGTGTAATGCGGGTTGCCTCACAGTGACAAATTAGCAGCAGCACTGTGCTGTGGCTGTTTCTGCTGGAGGTTCTCATTACCATTCAGGGGTTTTGCTGGCTCATCAGTGAATCGTGGACAGCATTTTGATCACTGAAGTGTGGCCCAGAAACCAGAGAAAGGATCGGAAACAGAGTCTACAAAAGCCTTTTTTTAAATTCTAAGATTCATTGGGTTCTTGAATAGGACTAGGTTCTTTGACCTCAGTGTTATTATTTCTTATGTATCCCAGAGGAAGTGACTGTACACTCACCCCCTCCATCCCTCCCTTTAAATCTTAGCATTCTTGTTAATCTGTCAGGAAAATAAGAACAGTAACATGTAATGTGCTTTTTTTTTTTCTTAATTGAAAATAACAATCCCCTTTATCCCAGTAGCTCTGGGCTGAGATCTAAGATTTTCATCCAACTTTCATTATTCACCAACATCTCCAAGATAATTATAGTAGCCGCCAATAAGAAGACCAAGATAAGCATCTTCTTGGACAAATGATTTTCAGTTACTAGCCAAAACATAAATCTTTTTTTTTTTTTTTTTTTTGCTACTTGGCATTTTTTTAATCAAGGTTTTTCTTTATCAGACTTCTAATTAGAATTAGTTGCATTTTTGTCTGTCAAAATAGATATTTTTAAAACAGTAAGTCTTTCACGGAGCACATTGCTTTGCTATCCTTTCCAATGGGGTAGATTCTGTATCTCAAGAACACAAAACCCAGTCAGACAGGGTGAAATGAATAATAAAACTTGGAATTTTAGACATGGAAATTCATATTTGTAGGCAGTCTTGTGTAATTTTACAAGACTGTGATAGAACAAAAGTAAATATTTGATCATCAAAGACTTCAAAACCTGATGAAGTGGGATTTTGTTCTTCATATACTTTGTGTTCTGACAATAGTTCTTGTCTTTGTTCAACATTATTGCACTCTGCTCATTTTTCAAATACCTTGACCATATTTAGGGTTCCTGAAGAGTTTGGATTGAGTGCCGCACACAACACATCACCTTCGAGAGCGTGTGGTCTAACAAACTTGTGACAATCCTTTTGCCACTTCTGGTGCTTTCTCTTTTTCCACATTCAGTGTTCGCACATTGTCATTATTGTTTTTTAGAACCCGTGTTCAGCTTTGTATTGTTACCAGTGAACAAAGCACATGAACTGAACTCATACTGGACTTTAAGAATAAATGTTAGATTAAAATTCCAGGTATCTCAGAGGGCAAAAAAAAAAACTTTCTTAAGGTTTTAACCATTTCTTTGCAGTTAGTAGAATATAAAATAAATGAAAAAATGGAAGGTACAGACTATTTTTCATGTTCACAAGGAATTGGTCAGTTGATAATGGGCTTAAATTTCACCAGGAAAAAATTTAGTTAGACTTCAGGAAAAACAGATTTAACCATGTTCATTTAGTTGAACATTAGAAGGGGAGGCCTGTGGACAGTCCATTATTTGAATATTTTACAATGTTAATAGACAAGCCTCTGTTAGGAATTGTTGGAGTAAATTGAATGCTGCTGTCAGGCAGAGGGATGGATTTGATTGTCTCTCAGAATCCCTCTTTATGGTCTGTGCCTCATTTTCTGTTGAAGGTTCCCACGGTTCAGATTTATGTAACCCTTGACCTGGCCAGGTGCCTATAAAGGAAGTTTTGCCCTCAGTTCTTCCATGCTGTTTGCAGATGTTGAGGTTGAGCTGTTTCATTCTAGAGCAATACCAGGACAAGTACAAGCTGATATTCTCAAGGTAACATGACCCCAGGCAAGGCAAGCAAATGCCTGCCCCAGCTGACCCTCTACTATTTAGTAATGCATGTTCTCTGACAGTATCTCCACAGATACTGTCAGATAATATTCTCTAGGCAGATACTGTCTGATGGTTTGAAGTTAACAAGAACAAGGGCTGATGTGGATATCTGGAACAAAGGAGTGAATTTGTCAGCAAGCTAACTAAGGCAAGAAAGTATTTTGTCTACTGATATTACCTAATAACCTAAAGATTCAGCCAGCCCTTCAGGGATTGGTATGATGATGTCTTTGATGGGAGGTGGAGGTATATTATCGGTTAAATACTAAATTTTTTCTTCTTTGCTTACCAGCATTTTTCTAGCATTGTCCAGGTTTATTCAGCAGAAAATTTCCTGAAGCCATGTTGTCGTTTCAGCAATGATAGTACTTGCAGCAGGTGAGTGTCAGTGGCATGTTGTGAAATCTATCTGAACCCTCTGTGCACTCTTTTCATTTACAGTGGAATTACTGGGAGATTAAGGAATTACTTGTGTAGATACCTCTATAGTCTGCAAATGAGAGAAAAAGGGAAGAAGCAGTACTACCAAGAACAGCTGTGACTACTGTAAGATGAAGCTGTCAGATCATCTTCCTCTGGTTGTAACACCAGACATTGCAAAGGCCCTTGAGATGTGCAGCTATACAGGAACAGAGATCTTACCCACGTCTGCAGGAGATATCAAAACATCCATGTACAGCACAGAGGTTATATCACATGCAGCTGGAACTTGGAGTTTACTTAGCTGTTTATTTGAGATAAGGATTATGGGCCTATGAACTGAGCTGAAATTCACTTCAGAGTCAGATTTGTAGGAGATTTTCAGTGAAGTATTGGTTTGTTTGGGACTACTTAACTGTCAGTAGATTAGACAGAAAAGTTCCCCTAAAGGAGTTTGTAGGGGGTCCTCCAGAAAGTGTTGAAGGAGGGATTGTGGTACTCTGCTCTCAGCCCTTGCTCTGATGTCAGCCCTTGCTCTGAGAAGCAGTTCTGACTGCAGTAAATGGACAGCAGTTCCAGTAAATGGATATTGTTAAGTATTAACTTGAGCTGAGAAGCCAAAGGAAGCCTTAGTCACTGCTATCCCACACCCTGTGTGTCTGCAAGTATTTCCCAACATTAGGTGTGTTTTGGCAGCACTAGCAGGACCAGCACCTGACCTTTGCACCTCTTCAGTCACTGATCTTAATTGCTGATCACTGGAAGTGAAGAAGCAATTAAATATGAAAAGGATCATTTGAGGCCTCAGTCCTGTATGACACTGAGCATGCCTGTACATTCTCATGACTCAGCTGGTCATGAGACTGGGGCAGTTGAGATCACTCACCACCTTGCAGGATGAAACCATGGAATGAAACAACACTTCTAATCAATAGCAGAGACAGAAAAAGTGGATTTATTATGAGTACTGATTGAACAGACAGATTAAGAATTATTCAGGACAACGTCAGAGAGATGAGGAAACTTTCATACATTTGGGGATAGTTGCTCTAGCACACTTTTTTTTTTTTTTTAACAGTTTCCTGCCAGAAAAAAAAAAAAAAAAGTATTCACTCTTGGTATCAGTTTTAGTGGACCACAGACTGCTCTGATAACTGCTGTTGCAATGAGGGGTGTGACAAATCCACATTTGAGATACACTGAGTGCCAAATACTAGTGTTTCTCCCTGGCTCACAAGTATGGATGTGTGTCAATGCAAGGCAGAGCTTGAGAGCAGTTACTACAATGGGAGTGGGAGAGATGAGAAATTAATATTGTCACTAAAAAGCAGGTGACAGCTCAGAGAAGAACAGGGAAGCAACACTGCAAGTGTCATGATTTTAGTCTTAAGATACCTTTTCTTTTATAGTTTAATAGCATTTACAGGAAGATGTTTGGGTTAGACTTTCAGGGTTCCTTTCCTCACAAGTTTCCTACACTTATTTTTTTTCATTTTCTGATAGCTGTATTAGAGCTATATTAGAGCTGTATTAGAGATTTTTACCTTTGTAAAAATTACTTGTAATGTCCAGAGGAGACAACTAAATTTGCAGCTGGGAAGTGACAGCGGGAATAATGAACTCTTTAAACCAATCTTCACCATTATCATGTGAATAACTTGACAGTAATACATTAGGAAAATAAAAATCGGGAAATAGAAAGAGGGTGATGCAAAACATAGGTATAGAGCAAAGCACTTGTAATAGCAGGGATAGAATTGGTGGGCAAATCCAGATAGAGTGATACCAAGAAATTCTCCTGGACTTAGTTCTTCCCTTTGTTGCAGACAATGAAGTAGTCATCACAGACAGGACTATGAAGTCTGAAAAGAAGACTGCAGTGCTAGCTGTTGACTTTGGTGGCTTTTTTTGTAAAACTGTCCAGAAGAGATAAGAATGAATTGGATGGGAATGAGAGCTTTAAAGCTCCTTTTAGCCTCTGAGGTATCACTCAATATTAAAACCGTGAAGGTTCCAACCATATTTAATCTGGCCTTTCTCTGATGGTGACCAGTAGAAACTATGGGGAGGAGTACAAGAACATGTAGTATTTTCCCCACATCACTTTGCAAAAACTCTTGGCCTTCACCTGCAAATTGTGAGTACAGTGTATTGACATTGCTATGACATTGCTATGAGATAGAGTGGCTGTGATGGTGCTATGACATTACCAGACTGAGTCCTCTAAACACATTTTCCTTGTAAGGCAACAGGACACTCAGTCTGTCAACAAAAATTTGGGCTGATTATGGCATCTTATGAAAGGGTTTGTTGTTATTCAAGTTTGGGTGTTTGTTTTTTTGTTTTTTTTTTTCTTCACAAAAAGAGTAGTATATTTAGATGCACAGAAGGGAAAACCACAAAACTCTAGACCAGAAATTGATTTATTTTAAGTCATGAAATCTGAAGTTATCCTTAAATACAAATAATAATGGAAACAAACAGAAAGCTTGTACAAAGGTAACAGAAGAATAATTAAGTGAACAAGGTCATGCTGGAATCATGTGAATAGAACTTGTGATTTTCTGTGATCATTCACTTACATTTAAAGTAAAACTAGGCCCTTACCCCTGTGATTTAAAATGCACAGGGAATCTGGAAGTTTGCTCCAGACTGACAATCCATTGTTTATTGTGAATCCTATGGGCTTAGTATTACAAATCTCTGTCCACGTAAAACAGGGTAAAATATTAACTGCTAATATTTTTAATTCAGCTGGCTTTTCCAGCAATGTTTCAGCAACCATGTTTCAGCAACATGTGTGCCATATGTGAACATGTCTTATGAATATGCTGAATTTCTTTCCAAAGAAGATTTATTCTCCAGGGACTTTGAGCTCAGCATGGGTAAAGAGGTAATCACGAAGATCAGAAGGCTTTTCCTTAATTCTGGATTGATTCAGATGCTTTAATATAATATTGTTAAGTTTCTTCAGCTCCTCTATGTTCTTCTTTTCAGATAGTAGTCTGCTTGATATTTGGTCCACCTCATTTCTAGTTTGAACTTGAAAAGGAGAATGTACCACATTAAATGGGCAGCATTTAAGTCAAGAGCATCACTACCCTCACTTGTATTCCTGTGAGGAGTAATGATGACTAAAAATATTAAACAGGAAAACAACTACAGAACCTAATAATAAGAAGTTATAGATGTGGTGGGTTTACCTGCTCAGTACATTCTTTTTTGCTTATTTGCTGGATTCTTCTTTTAGTTTAGTGCAGAGTAATAAAATCATATATGGCTCAGATAATTTTTGCATTTTTCAGGAGGATAACCATTAGTATCAACAGGGAAATGTCTTATTTAGGGGCTTCAAGATCCAATTTGGGGCATGTGCATATATTTTATTTCAAATAAAAGAAAATTTCTTGCAAATACTGACATTTTGAGGCCTGCCTCCTCTGGCATGCCAATATGCACACTTGGAGCTATTTTTCTTTTGGCTTTCGGATGTTAAAAAATTTACCCATGGGTTTTGAAGCTTGAGTGTAATAGTAGCAATGCTAAATGAATCTATGCATGTGGTTTGCAAATATCTCAGATTATAGAACACACTATATCTATATGTATCTAATAAAACATTTTAACATAAACTGAAACATCACTGGAAATCAGTTTCAAAAACCCAGGCCTCCACCAACCTGAGTGCAAGCAAACTGCTTAAATTCTTGTAAGAAATTTTTCTCTTTAGTTTATAGTTTTTCCACTAGAGCAACCCAATACTAATTTTTCTATACCAAGGCTCTACTTTTAGCATCTGAAATTCAAGTATGAGGTATTTCAATTAGGATTTTGCAATCATGTTACTTAAAATCTACTTTATGTTCCTGTCTGATATTTCTTTGAGTGCCTGTAAGAAAATTTAATCAAGGGTTAGGATTTTCTGGCCTAAAAGAAAAATCATGTCGCTATGTTTCAGCAAATTCCCTACTACAGGACATAAGAAATCTTGATTGTATATGGGTTCAAATTCTTTCAAAATAGTCTTGTAAATTGAAATAATGCACCTCAGATTCTATTCAATATGATTAGCTCAGAAAACCCCAAGATGACAAGGGTTCCATTAACCAGCCATGTCTTCAGCTAAACCTGCCTGATCAGTCCTAAAAAACTGGAACAGTAATTGTGTCTATAGACTCAATGCTACATGCAAATCTTAATAAATGTCTAATTCTTTTACTTATGCTTAAGACTTTCTTAGTACCAAATCAATTTCCAGGCAGTACTTTGATGACAAAGGATCAGGTCTTCCTTCAGGTAGCCTGATTTAAGTGTTAGCCTGGGTGGAATTCCAGTTTCAGTGGAATGACCCAAATACTGAGTTTTATCTGGAAAGAAATGGAAGGCACGTTTCCAAAGTATCTCACTGCCATACAATTACCTTTAAATTTTAATTTCATTCCCAGCCAGCATTTTTAGCAACACAGTATAATGCTGCTGAGATAAATTCTTCACAGCTGTTGAAGATCACAAATCCTTAGCACTAAGAATAAAATTGTGCCTTTTAGCCCTGAGAGAGTGTTGTTTGCCTGTGCTTCTGCCCCCAGGACCACGACCCAGTGCCCAGAACCAGCCAAAGCCTTTGCCCATGCAAATACAGGAGTAGCATGTTACAAGGTAACATGACACATTTCGGCAAAGTTTTTTTCCAACTGAACCTACTTGAATACTCTTGAAGTATTTTCAAGAATTACTCTTTGGTTTACTTACATACTAAGAATATTACAAATGAAACAAGTGCCAAACTGACGGTCAAAGTAAGAATAAGGGTGACGAAGAACAAACGCTGGTTTCTTGCGTTGCTCCCTGCCGTACTTTCTGCAGTACCACCAGTGTTCTCTTCCTCATCTGTTAAGAGATGACAAACCATTTGGTGATACAGTTTTTTTAAGGTTGGTTAGGATAAGCATGACAAAATGCTTCTGGCATCATGAAATGATGCAGAATACGTTGTATATTTGGTCAGCAGGTTTTATTTCCTGTGATATTTCATGAAAGGGGAAGAAATCAACTTTATGAACTCAGCTTGAATTTGGAAATATAAAAAAATTATACATCTGTTATAGCTGTTAGAACACATTCAACAAAAATGTTTCTATGTTGAAATACAGTGTTTTGTTGAAGTTTCTGTTTTACAGTTCAGAGTTTTACAGCTGTTTTACAGGTACAAAGGCTGCAATGAAGTTTTCTTCAGGCAGATTTATAAATTGCAATTAATTTAATTGCATTTAATTTTTTCAAAAGGGAAGAAAGCGAAATTCATATTGAAAACCAAGGTACAGATTCATCATACACATTCATCCTCTAGATATGCTTCTTTTTCTGTTTAATGAGAATATCCCTGGGATGATTAATCTCTCAAAGTAAACACCTCAGTTAAACCCCTAATGTTGGATAGAATGAATTTAGGTCTTGGCTGTTTTATCTTAAAACAGATGTTTTCAATATTTTTCATCTTTAGGATTTGTTGGTTTCATTCTAGTAAAAAATGAGGCACCTATCCTCCCAATTGTCAGGAATGGAACAGACTCTCACATAGACTACAGACATTGTCCTTAAGCACAGGAAGAATGAGGGGAAAAAGAAAGGCACTTTCAGTGCTGACCTTGAATCAGCTCAACAAGCCATTTCAATGCTTTTTAAAGAATGTGTTGCATATATAGGGAAATTCAGTAGTTTCTCTCACAGAAACAGTTGCAATCAATGTGAGGCAGCAGTAAGCCCCAAAAATAACAAGTCAAGTGGACACCATGAGGAAAGTCATGTGAATGCAAAAAATTTACACTTGAGCCAGATTTGTTTAATCTTATGTTTGTATACTACTGTTAAAACTTACAAAGATTTGGGTTTATTTTCTGTTTTGGAGGGAGGAGGAAGCTAATGTAATTTCACTTTGGTGTCAGTCTCATACGTACTAAAATTACGTGCAAATTACTGTAATTTATCCTTCTGTAATTGCTCTCTTGCCATTCTGAAATGGAGAGTAGGGTGTGCATCTGTGAAAAATGTATTTCTAGGTCATGTTCTTGTTTTAGCTGGTGGAAATCTCTGAGGTCTTTGCAACTGAGCCTGTAGTGGTAAAGCTGAGGAAAGGGTGCATATGCCATTACAGGACTTTAATAATGACCCTACCTAGGGCTGAGCAATCCACTGAGCTGGTAAATCTCTGGGAATATCTCTGTTTTTCTTTATTTTGTGTTCAACACACTCCTGTCCATGAGAAAGCTGAAATATTTTCATATTTCTCCTTTGAGGTTCTATTCTTACTCCCTTAGCATTCATAATAAATGCACTATATAATAAATGTCTGCACCAATATTCCTTTCTAATCAGAATAATAGGGATGGGCAGGACCTGCTTCTGCTGCCTGCCAAGCATCCTAAGTTATCAACAGTGGTCTCAAAATTGGGCTGAGCTCACTCTGCCTAATGAATACTTCTTACTATTTCATCAGGCTGAACGTGCCCGGCTGCAGTGTTGTGAGGAATGGGTAAGCACACATTCTTGTCAAACTGCAAGCAGTGGGAACATTTTATCATCTAAAACATGAAATTACTGCATGGATTCTATTGAAGCAACCAAACAGCATATGCATTTTAAACAACTTTTGACATGTCTCTGATTTTCTGTCAAGAGAACCAGAGTTTTATGCTGCTGAGTAAGTTAGCTGACAGGATGAGATATCTACAGATTCTCCAAGCTTAAAAGCTACATTGAAAAAATAATCCTAGAAGGAACCAAAGGATTTTACAAATTTATGAATAAAGTACTTATTAAGCTACCATTTTTTACTGCTGAAATTAGGGAGGGACATGCATGTGATTCTTCCAGAGAATCATATATGTTTCCACAGAACCTTGTATATTTACATGAAAAGTATATAATACTGTCCAATAAAATTTCAAAAGAAAGCAAAACAGTCACACTGAAAGGAGTTTCTTAAAATTAAAATTTATATATGCCATTGTCTCATTTTTCATGTGTAGAAGTGACAATATCAAGATAATCTGTTTATAAGAAATTAGTACTTTATGTCTAAAATATTTGTGTTAAATGTGGAAACCAGCACTACTCTAGTTAGTACAACTAGGAAAAGTTAGGGGACTTGGAAACAGATGTAATGAGAAAATATTTAAGACCCATAATTAGAAGCATGATTAAGTTATGGCCACATTTCAGCATAGCTGTTGATCTATAAATTTCTTCACTCAAATTTACCATTACAATGAGGGAAATTAAAGCAGACACATTGTTATGTGGAATGCTGCTGAAGAGCTCTGGGTTTTAAGATATTTTCAGGTCACAAAGAACTCAAATTGCAGCTGTCTCTGGGTAAAAATATTCTTGTTGCTGTGAGAAATCAAAGGCAAAAGCCTTATCAAACCAGAAGAAATGTGAGAGCTATAACTGAAACTGTGAGTAAAGAAAGTGCAGAAAGTAAAATGCTTAAAGGTTTCAGAGGATATTTCAGGTTTTTGGTTTGAGTTCTTAGGAGATGCATCTTAAAGGAAAGAGCAGAAATTCTCAGGTGCTTCTATTGCCATGAATTTTAGTGCTTGGGAAGAGCTATAATGCTATTTATATAGTGGGTGTATATTGGGCATTACTAGAGACATTATCCTGCAAGAGATCACCTCATAAATCCCAACTGAAATAGAAGATAAGTTCAGGTTTGAAAGCAACTCCCTAACTAAATGCAAGGATTTTCAGGAACCTAAAGCAGAAATACTCAGCAGGGACAGCTAAATCATTGTCTGATCAATCTAAATGATGCCATTTTCAATCTTCTTTTTTTTTTTTACATTTTTCAGTACAGGGCTTGGCATACCTATTGGCCTATTAGGCTGTTGACATCAGTGACACACAATATGGATTGTATATACAGAAATCCACAGATCACCTATCATACATACCCAGTGGATGTTGGGATTCATCTAGACAAACATTTAGTTTGTTTAGGTTGTTTAGGGAATCAACTACATAAAGTTTTCCTTCTTCATGACCATCAGGCAGGTTAAATTCCAAGGAAGGCCTCTCCATTGTCTCTAAGAGAAACAATAATTTAAAAGGTAAATTAACACACGGCTGTGGGAAATAACTTGTAACAGTTGGTATCCTGTTCTAAGGAAATACTCAGCAGCCTAAATGATCCTTAAAATACAGAGATTTGAAGGACCAGCACACTTACTAGATCTTTAAGGCAGGGACAATTCAATACATAGCACGTGTTTATTATTGGAAATCTTTGATTATTAAAACATTTCATTTTTGGATTGAGTTTGTGCACATACCTGTGTGTATGGGGAAAGAGAGAAAGAGAAAAGTCAATTTGACTTTTATGGTACCTATTTAGTATATTATCCCTTGATTTGGTGAGTATTTGGTAAGAGGTGGTGTGACATCCTGACTACGGTGAAAGCCAAACCTTCACCGACACTTCCAGGAAGGATGTCACTCAGGTCCTCTTCTTTAAGCATCAAATAATTGAGAGATAAAACAGGGAAAGCAGGAATGAATGTAGGATATAAGCAACAAGAGTATGTTTCTGTTTATACACCTTAGAATATCACTGTGAAGCTATTATTTGTGAAAAACATATAGTCTACTTCGCACTTTTGGACAAATTCTACAAGCTCTTTCTTCAGACTAGTACCCCTTGCTTTAAAAAAGGCACTGGATGAAGTTCAATTAGTAGAAACAGTTTCTCTGCAGAGTCTGGGTGCATGAACTCAGTGAATGATTCTTAACATAAATACAGTTTTGAAAGAAGATTATACATAGAAAATAAGTAATACCTAGGGAGGTGGCTTCTATGTATTGTACATTATTCCTTATCAGTCTTTTGCTTTTCTTTACACTACTCTGATTGCAAAAATGTCCTCCAGAAACAAAATACCTCCTAGCCATAAGGAGATGCAGACACTCTAAGCAGGCATGTTTGTCTAGAATTGTCACTGAAAACTCCCTCCATAATTATTGAAGAAAAATATATTCCTCAAGGTAATATCCCTCTTATTCTAAAATATTCTTTTCTCACCTTGGAATCACAGCCTAAATGTATGTTTTTCTTGCTAGTGATTGTAAGGAGGGTGCCCCCACAGATTAGTTTAAATTTGGATTAGAATGCATCTTACCCATTTAGTATTTTACAAAGCTCCCAAGTTCAATTTTATCTGCCAACATAAATCAGCACTTTGTGGGATGCAAACCTCCCTTGATGACATGTGTTAAGCACCTAAGGGTGATTTCTGTGTCCTAGATGGGTTAACTGTCCTCTTGACATGCTTCTGAGCCTTCTCTTCCTCTCCAAGGAATACAGAACACAGTGTGACCAGATTCCTAACAAAACACTTAAATTAAAAATCTAAAATTTGAACCCTAGTTGTTTGCAGAAAATCCTCACTCCTTCTCTCATCAAACCAAATGCAGAAGATGGCTATAATTCCCCCAAACCTGAGCATACTGCAAAGTAGACATTCAATGAGCCTCAGTTAACTAAGTCTGAAGACTAAGCACTGAAAGCAATCCTGACAATAGGGCTTGTTCTCCTGCTAGTAGAGACTGACAGGACTATAAGGATACTTTCATATGTCTTTTTAACAACCCATAAGAAAAGATTACAACTTACTTTTTTCTCTGTTCAGAAGCGTTGCTTCAAAGTACAAAGAAAGTGTAGAAAAGCTGGCATGGTAGGGGTTAACCTTACCTAGTGTATGATCTTTATGTGTGCAGCAGTAACTTCAGGACAGATGGCTGTGCCACTGTCCTTCCTCTAGAGCATGACATGGCAGCAGGCAGCACAACAGTCTGTGAGCCACGTCCCTGCTCTGCTGTCTCCCCACATGCACATCCTCAGCCAGCACAATCACTATGGAGCCCTGTGTTTGAATGGTGTGCCAAAAGTTACCACTTCACACACAAATGCTGCTGGTTATTTTTAGCTTCTGAAGAGCAGTTCTTTCTCTCTTTTGATTAAAACCTCCCTGCAGCTTTAGGGAAGACTTTTCTTAACAGCTTGAGGTGTAGTAAATGTGACTATGTTTGATTCATGAGTATTATGAATTCTGTTTCTGCACTTATTATTTAAGTACATGTAAAGACAGTGCACATGTAAAGACAGTGAAGATTACCATTATTGATTCCAAAAAGTTTATATTACATTTGTTTGATTCCATTGACGTGCCAAAGGAGAAAGGATACAAAACACTAGTATCACTGGACAAAAGTATTGATTATTTTCCCAACAAATCAATCTAAACATTAGGATCTTTGGATTCACTTTATCTTGTACTTTAACCTTGCCTAAAGACTTTTTTCCCCAGTACAACTTTTTAATTTCTTCCTATGTCATTGTGGTAAAAAACCAACCAACCAACCAAACAAAACAAAACAAAACAAAACAAAAAAAAAACACCAAAAAAAAAAATAAAAAACCACCCAAAAAACTTAGAATGAGAACACACTGAGAATTCTTCACAAGAAAAAAAAAAAGAAATAAAACCTAAAAGGTTAAAAAAAATAAGAGAATGGAACATTACTTACAACATAATTGCATTCAGGTAATGTGCCAGTATGGAAGAAATCAGCCAGTGAAAATCATGTGAAGAAAACTTGTTCTGCAGTTCCTCTCTACTTTTAGTCCCATAGGAGCCTGTCGAGTCCTGCAGTACCCATGAAGATAGCTGTGAAACACACTGCCCCTCTCAGTCTATATTTAGAGTTCAGCTTGGCCACTCACTCACTATACTCACTTTGCAATATTGATCTGCTAAACCAGAAATCAGCACTTACACAGCTTTTTTTTATTATATTGGAATCATGACAATATCCCATCATGGAGAAAAAGGGTTGTTACTGATGATCAGTATTTCATTAATCTTTTGGTTAGTGCCAAACCTCTTGGCTTTAGTGCTCATCTAAAACACATTTGCTATGCAGAAGAGTCGTATCTACAACACTGTAGCTATGAGTAACCAGTTTGCTATGCAGCACAGTCGTATCTACAGTATTGCAGCCATGAGTATTTTAAAGTCATAGACTAGAATAACCAGGGTCTTTCTTCCTTCTCCCATACACTTTATGAATTCAAGTGGGACAGTATTATGGGGTGGACTAATTGGTCTGGCATCCTTAGCTGTTCAAAGATTAAGTTCTGATGAACTGGTGGTGACTAGCGTAATTGCTTCTGTGCTGACAGATCTTTTGATCACTTTTTTCTTTGCTAACATTGCAGAAGGCAGTGTTACAGCACATTGTATTGACAGGCACTGACAGAGCAACTGCAGCAGAGGGACTGCAGCTCAAAACCACAAATCCTTTCTGAAGCTATCACGTGTCTAAAATTCTGAATCCCTTTAAACTGCCCATATTTATCTCTCAGGAAACAAGAAAATAAACTACCTGACTCATATTTCCCATCCTAAGCTGCCACTTTCTGCTGCTCAGAATTGCTCCCTTTCTGCAGGAGTCTCCTGGAAGTCCTCCCTCCAAAGAAGGATGTGAAAGCCAGGAAAAAAAAATTTAAAAAAATCCATCAGTATGATGTCCATGCCTAAAAACTCCTGACACCAAAATAATCATAAGAGAATGACCCAAGCCTCTCCAGCTGAAAAGATCTGCAAACGAGCCACATTTGCAACAGCACAGGAAGCCAGGCGGGTCACTGTGGGTGGCAGCTACAGTGTAGCAGGGAAAAGGGCAAGCACCTGCTCGGCCCTCTGCCAGGAGGTGCTGCAGAAATGCTGGACAGGAAGCCATCAGAAGTTCCCGGCAAAGGGCACCAAAGGTGACTAAGCAGAAGCTGCAGGAGACGCAACAGGCTCGAGGGAACAGTTTTGCTCTAAGGGAATGGTCTTTGGCCAGGCAAGTACAGGCACACAGCTTCACCTTGTTCAAGGATCAGTTTTTTCTCCACTTGTATGACACTGACACATGCTCTATCAGCACAGTTTTCTGTTCAAGATTTTGTGTAGTCCAAGTGATCAGTTTTGCAAGACAAACAAGTCCTTACATAGTGGATTATTTGAGGGGGGGGCGGGGGGGAAACCAGGTTAAAGTAGAAAGTACAACTCATTAGTATTCACTGACTTTCTGGAATAGGTTCAGCTGTAATCAGAAACTGGGAAGCAAAAAAAAACCTCTCCACCCTAAACCAAACTTTCCCTTATCAGAACAGGCAAGTTTTCAGGGGGCGGGGTTGTTTTCAATGCAATGTTTACTTCATCTGGTGCAAACATTTTAAGAATGTTTATTTAAACAAGCACTTGTACAGATCCTCAGGTTCAGAAGCTCTAGCTATCCAGGTTTTAATATCTTTATTACATAACACCCCCCATTCCTAAGTCAGTTCTCAGCTACTGGCACATTTCAGTCCTATAGAACAGGGAAGCCAGAATGGTTCCTCGAAGATACAGGACAACATGTTTTGCAGCACCAAAACTAGAAAATTTTTGACCATTAGAGAAACAATGGCAAATCAAGATTAGGCAGTTGTGCATGCAAGTATAAGACACCCTTGAAACACAGCAAGGTAGACTTGCATGTAGCATCTACTAACACACTGAGAATACCCCAGGCACATGTTTGAACCCGCAAATAAACCCATCCCTTCCAACCTTAAGGTTTTGACAGTGTTACAGCTTTTCATTGATGGAGTAATTACTTTTACACAGAGTGCAGGCAGTGAGAAACATCTTTATTCCAAAAATTAAATATACAATTTCAGAACACAATCTTGCTTTTATTTTACATGGAGGCAAGTATTTGTCAGTGGAAGTTACTGAACTTCATAGTCCCTGTCAGGATAAAGTTACACTTACATAGAGATTTCTTGTCTGTATGTCACTGGAGTTTTAAAAAGTTACTAAAATAATTTCACACAAACATGGTCATCTTCTCATATTCTTACACTTAGTCAATGACTTTACCTTTATATAAAGAATCCAATCTGACACACAGCATTTGACTAGTTATCCACCCCATTTAATATATCAGTTACAACATAATCGACCTTTGGAGCTAGTGGGGGTCTAATGTATATTATTATAATGTGTCCCTGCACCAAATGTTACATCAATCTATATACAATGTATACGAAACTAAGCAACAACATGCATTATATTTACAGACTATGTAACAAACCCATGCACAACTGCAAACTGACTACAGAAGTTAAAAAATTCATTTAAATGTTACAAATTTATTTGAATAATGAAAATTGAACCCCATTGAAAAGGGAATCTAAAAAAATTCCCCCACATCTGCTCTTTTATCACGACATTTACTTCTAGCCTTTGTCCGAGCCTTGAATGCTGCAGAGTTGTACAAGTGCTACAAAACAAAAAAAAGAAAAAAGAATTACATATTGTCATAAGGCTTAGGCCCTTCAGAGATTTTTTCATGTTACAAAACAAATGAAAATATCCCTCTATTAATCTCTGAAGTAAACTGGTACGCCTTCTGAAATTTATAGTATACTGTCTTTGCACCAAAGGCTAATCTCTGTGTGTATACATATATAGACAGACAGATATATTTAAAAGAAACTTGGCCTATAAAGAAAGGCTGAACTATAAGTAGTTCTGGAAGCCAGTCAGTCTTGAACATCAAGCAAATAAATACCATGTTACATTTACCCCCAGATTAAATTTGCAAGATAAAACTTGACTGCACCATTCCCCAAATTATACGAAGGATTAATGGCCTTATTCTGTTGATAGTGACTGCAATCTCCTAGAGCCCATTTCACACTGCAGAGTTTGGGACACACTCTTTATGAAGACTCAGTTTCCACAGTTTCCTGTAGGTGCCTCCCCAAAAGACATGGATCTCTCAGAAGAGACCAAGTTTCATATGTGTGGAGCATGAATTTAGTAACCATCGGCAACCACATCAACCTTCAGACCCCTTGGAAAAAAATATAGAAGCAGACACATGCCCAGTAGAAAACTTTAAAGTTCATACATGCATACAAGTAAGGCTGGATTTCATTCAGGACAGTATGAGGCACTCTTAGAACTACAGTGTAACAATGACAACTTCTGAAGTGCAGGAGTAATTAGAGGGGGAAGCAAAGAAAATTCATTTTAGTGGAATAACCTACCCTTTCAAAACGGGATATCTTCATTGTTTTAAGAGTTGCAGCATCCAGCATTACTGGTGGACCAAGCTCAAACACATTCCGAAGAAAGTCATTTGACTAAACAAGAAACACACCAAATGATTAGTTTCCCCTCTAATTATCAAGTCTCTAAAGTTGACTACTGTGAAATATCAAATATTCCAGTAAGAAACCCTAAGATTTGTGCCAAATTGCTGCTATCTTTTGCAATTAAGTCAAGAACATTTCCTCCTTCAACCAGAATAAGGCTAAAAGCAAAAACAGCCACCTTGAGAAGACAGACAGCTCCTCCTACCTCCTTTGATATTTTTGTCCCAGCAAATGAGACACTGTTCTGTTCTACACAAAATCAAGCAGCTGAACAGACCTGTATGCTTTCACAACACACCAGTTTTAAAATATCTGTCTGTGAAAGTAGTACTTGAAAAAACTGAAAAACCTGCTACATGCCTGAGCTCCCTCAGTCACACAGAAATTCAATTAACACAGGACTGAAGATTTTAACCTCATGATTACCACAGCAATTTGAGAGCATATATTCCTAAACTACAGCTCCTGCTTCTGTTACATATGTAAACAGATGACTAGTAAAGAAGTTGTTCCCAGAACAGAGATAAAGTATGCCTTCTCTTCTGGAATGCTGTCACCGTTGTGTGGTGCTGCAATGTTCATTTTAGTCAAAAATAATGTGTTCATTATTTTTGACTAAAACTTTCCCTTTCTTTTACAGGCTTGAACACAAAGGGTGGAGGCATGCAGCTTTATAGCAGCCAGACAACTGTACCACTGTGCTGAAAGAAGCACAAGGGTTCAGGGAAAACCCTGAAGCTAAAAACATTCAACTTAAATTTTTTACTTCTTGGAGAAGTTGATTACTACGCTAGTATACCCAGACTACAACTCAGAAGCAGCTTACCCAGACAGCTTTAGCTCACTGTAATTAATTTTTTAAGTGATGTCTTTAACACCTCAAATGCAAGGCTCATCACTTCACTGAGTTCTACTCAAGATTTTGTAATTCAGACCGAATTCCATCAAAGAAGCCAGACACAGAGGAACAGTCTGGGCAAGTGTCAAAGAGCAGTTCACCTGCAAATGGTATTGCATCCCCGACCCCAGGATCTCCTTGAACGTCTCGTAAGTTTGTTTTTTAACCCAGCAGTCAATATACATGCGCTCAGGTCCAAACTTCACCATCTCTGTAGGGAAGTCACGCTCCTATGCAAAAATCAAAGGAAACAACATCTATAACTTTAAACAGTATTTTGTACTGGGAATTTTATACATCTCAGTGAACTTTATTTTGACTGATGAATTTGGCACACCAAAACCTTTCAAATAACACAGTGTACATATGCTAAAGATTGTATTTGTTCATAAAGCAGATGCACACCTACAGTCAAATCTCATGTGGAACTTGAAGCTGATGTTCTTCATGATTACAAAGCTTTTTGAAAAACAAACACTCAACTTTAATCTTTAAAATTACTTTAAGAATTGGACTTATCTCCAGGAAACCAGTTCCAAGCGCAAAGTCACCTTTAAGTCAGACTATAAGCCTTATTTAGTCTCTACCTTATACACGTATTTGGGACAATAGAATGTAACAAGTGCTAATAGGTGACTCAGATCCTTCTACAGGCAGAATCCCAAAGGTGATTTCAAATTATGCCAAGCCTTCTCCTTAGCTTCCACAATGTTTAACTATTCCCAGTCTTCGTTCAGCATTGCTAAAAAAAGCAGTTCTATTCCACATATGTGATCTGACTACAAAATCTCACTTGAAATAGCTTTTTCCTGTTTCCTTCACCGAAACAGTAATTCTGTTTAATAATAAA